CGAAGGAGGCACGGCAAGAAAGAGAAAGGGGGGAAAAAGAGGAATGACAGGCAGCCACACCGTATTTAGCACAAAAGAAATGAGTCGGGGGTGTAGAAAAAAAGCGAAAACGCTAAAATAAAGGGCAAACACAATTCTGCAGCGCGGAGAGAATGAAGCAAGTGGGAACGGCATGTAAGCACACCAACACGACACTGTGCGGAGCGGCGGCAGGGGAACTTTACAGAGAGCAATAGGAGTCTTCAACAACAATGAGCAACAACAGGGGATAGGAGAACTGGTATATTCACCCCTCTCCCCATTTTTTCCCCTTGTTTACGTTTTCTAATTGTGGGTTTCTCATAACACAAACAAGGCGGCGGCCAGCACGCGTCGATAACCGAAAAGACGCATATAAAAAAAAAAACGCACAGACACACACACAGAGAGAGAGAGAAAGAGATTTTTTTNGAAAAGACGCATATAAAAAAAAAAACGCACAGACACACACACAGAGAGAGAGAGAAAGAGATTTTTTTTTAAAAACCGCGAAGCTTACAAATGTTCATCCTCTCCCTTCAGTGTGCTATGCTACCTCTAAGTTTCTTTGGAGAAATCCGCGGCACACTATGTTCTATTCTTGGACGAACTGCTATTTAGTTGCTGTAGAGCTCCTTATCACTATCGGAGGGGGTCGCCTGTTCTCGCGGGTCCTGCAGTATCTGCCGTCGCTTCATAATATACTCGAACGTCGTCATACGCAGAAAATACAGCATGATGTGAAAGCACAGCAGGTGGAGAAGGGGTGGTATCGTCAAGAACGTAATCGTGGAGAGCACAAGGGGGCCGACGCGAAAATACCAAGAGTACATCGCCAAGTGCGCCCACCATCGAGACAGCAAAACAACACCAGAGGTAAATGCAAGTGTTATGCTGAGAAGAGCAGAAACGACGAAGCCAATAAAGACGCGGTAGTTTTTTGATCCGACACATGTGTTCAACCACTTGCAATGATGATCAAATCCACTGATACACTTATTGCACGCTTTGCAGTGCCTTGAGTCGATATGGGTAAGACGCTGGCAGAACGTACATGGCTCCCCCTCATTAGAGATATCGCCGTTTTCTCGAAACGACATTATCGCCCATAGGACGGATGTCACTATAAGTGAGGAACTGGTTAATACCACCAATGTCACCATATCTGGCAGGCATTCTGTGTGGCCGCCACGGCTGTAGAGCAGCACGTAGCCTGGCACAACAGAAGTCCAAAATAGGACAGCACCAAGTGTCATCACAGACAATGCAATGATCTGCAGGTAGTGAAGCGGCCATTGAAATGCGTGTTGGCGCCGCCTATTGTACCGCCAGCTATCTGGGTTGGACCGATCCACGCAGCACGAAGCACACGGCTGCTTTTGGTACCTCCTCTGGACAGGCACCATATCACTATGGATCCCGTTTTCCACCTGAAAAGCGTGCAGAGTTGACAGCGATGCCCCCATCGGGGAATAGTTCTCCACTGATAAGTGTCGTAACTCCGGTAGGTCGTCTGTTGGGGAAACCACACATGGCATTGAATGGTCGATTTCCTCATTCACTCCCATCTGGTGAAGGATGCCGTCGCTTCCCATCTGCTCCAACTCCCGTGGTCGTTGCCCGCGTGGGAAATCAGGATCAAAAGCAGAAGGAGAAGGAGAAGCACCACGCAGGGTCTTGGCGTCCCCACTACTTTCCTCCTTCGCCTTCTCTTCTACAATCACCACCAGTGCGAAACCGTCACGCTGCATGGCATTATTGGCATTGAAGTCCTCTCGCGCATTACTTCCAGGTTCGCCAAACACGTCGTCTCGGGCTGAGCCATTGTACGACAACACATGGCTGCGAACGCCCCTGTACGACGGCAGTACCGCTGTCTCTTCACTAAACTCATCGTTCACCTGGAGCGCGACGGAGCCGTTTCTGGCGGGACCCGCCACGCAGCTCTGCAGCTCCCCTGCCTGCGGTGCACGGCCTGACATCCGCCGCTTGATCGACGCCATGCTGGCCATGTCTGGCTCACCGTCCTCAACATCCGTCGCCTTAAGCGGTGACGGGCTGTGGTGTTTCTTTTTTCTCTTCTTTTTTTCAAGCTCTGAGTTTTTCCGTGCAGAGGACCACTCCAGGCTATTCCCGACGACACCCTCTTTTTCACGTGAAGAGTCCGTTTCCCCGCCGTCCAACACTGACAACACGCCGTCATTGTTCACCATGGACGGAGGCCCCATGTCGCCTCCCATCAATTGCGCGTGGCCACTGCTCTTGCGTCGACTTTTGCTGCGGTGCTTGCGATGTTTGATGTTGCTCCCTCCACTATCGCTTGGGCTTAGCACCGGGCCTTCGTCACTAGTCACAGTGATGCGCCGACTTCGCCGCCGATGTTGACGTTCCTGAGAGACCGAGACGTTCTCATCGGCATTCGCATTATCACCTGTCGATGCCGTGAGATGTCCTCCATTTGGTACGCCACCGTTGTCTAAGTGTGGTTGCATGGAGCTGGGCCCCTGGACGAGCGACGAAGAGGGGCGTGGTGACTTTTTCTTTTGCTGCGTGACGGATACCACCCGCCACGGGTGCAACGCCACCGGAGGTGATGACACTACCTCATCCTCATCATCCTCCAGCTGCGTCATGATGCCTGCCTAGCACGTGCTACAGTAAAAGAACTGATTGTTTACTCTCCACCTGTTGCAATATACCAAGAAGACTTTTCGTACGCGCAGCAGTGAAAAGAACAGAAGTGAAGGCGAAGAGGTAGGCCAAAAAACCGGGCAAAAACCAGGGAGGAGGAGGAGGTGCAGGAAAGAACCACACCCGAGCGGTACGACAAAAGCATGGACAGCACAGCGAATATCATCGCACTCCTTCACCGCGCCTCGCCAATCGATCAGATTTCTCTCTCTCGCCCTCTTTCTCTCTCCTTTTTGCCCCCTACTTTGCTCGACCTCGTGCCACGCCCAAGCGATGGCCACACAAAAGGGCACGCCACGCAACCAACCATCACCGACCCCCGCCGCAATTCCTCAGCGAACATCCCCGGCATCGGGTGGGAGCAGCGCCCAAACCGAAAGGAGGTGAGTGGAAGGGATATGGGGATTTATACAAAAAAAAAAGAAAAGAAACAGAAATAGCGACGGTGAAACGCTCAAAATTTCCACTCGAAGAAAAAGCACACCAAATCACCGGCTATGCGGTGAGGTAAGGAAGTCACAAAAGCACCAATGTTGACAACAACAGCGGAAACAACAACACTTTTGCAGGTGGGGAAAATAAAACGGCAAAAACGTTTCAAAATCAGATCGATAAGAACCCATTGCAATCTCCCATTGAATCCTTGCCACCGTGTGCGTCTGGTGGGCATAGGGGCAAAGGAGCAGGAAGAAAACGATGGCTTGTTTTATCGACACCTCCGTGAGGAAGGGTGCTCAAGGCGTCTTCCATCCTGCGGACCAGTGCCAAATATGCATCGCCGGGCCGCCCACACACGCCGCCGCACAACAAAACACATACACATACACTTACACATACGCATACAAACACCAATCTCCTTTTTTTTTTCATCTGCCAGCCGTCTTTCATGTCTTCACGCTGACAGGACAGCGAAGTACAGATGGTGGCAATATGAAGAGAGGTGCCTGAGTGCAGAAGGGAATCGGCGAGAACGACAGTTCAGCGCCACTTGGGAGGGGATGAATTTGAAATTGCAGATCAGCAAGAACCAAAGAAACAACATTTTCTTTTGTTTTGTTTCTTTCCGGTCGGCACACCCACAAATCCTCGCAGGTATGGCAATGCATACACAAGACGCGTGCCGTGCTTGGGGGGGGGGGNGGGGGGGGGGAGGAAAACAGTGAAGAAGCAAAGGCGAGGCGAAACAAAACAAGGAAAGAGAAAAACATAAAAATAATCAAAGAAAAAACAGACACTTAGAAGAGGGAAAATGGAAATAATGCGGCGGGCTCCTACAACGGCAGGACAAGCTACAGACGCCAGGATTACTCTAGTACACGCTCATACACTATATTTGTTAACTTGAGAGGCTTGTGTGGAATTTCTCTGGAAATCCAGCAGCCGTCGTCGACGACGCCTTTGGGCTTTTGTTGCCGCTGCTGGTGCCGTGGCCGCCCTGCAGGAATGTGTCGGGCGGCGGCATGTCCCAATCGTGCAGACGCCGACGGCAGCGAGAAGTGGGCGCGGAGCACGCCAAACTGCCGCTGAAGCCATAGCGTTTGCAGTCTCCATCAATTGCCCCAGTGGCCTCAGGGGGCACCCCCACCTGCAATGTGTGTGGCGAGGCGGTGGCGCCGTTTTCGCCGTCTGGGAAAACTGAGGCGCCGGAGTCCCAGCCGACCGCACCGTCATCCCCGCACGTCATGTTTTTTCCCGAACAGCCATATTGTATTCGCCCCTCCACTGGGGAATTTGCAGCGAGGTGCGGTGAGAGGTGCATCCTCTCTGAATTTCTACCTGAAGGCGGCAGCGGCGACATGAGCTGCGGTGGCAAACTGTCAGGGTGCTGTGGCGGTGTTCTTACCACCAGCTGCACGGAGGAGAACAGGTTCGTGCACCCCGAGAAACCGTGGAGGCCCCCGAAGTGTTCCAATGGGTCACGAGCGCATAGATGAACAGCCAGTTGATCCGGCACATGCACCTCCTCATCATCATCCGTGACATCGTCTGGGACTTCAGTCGACGAACTGAATTGGGGGCTACTACTGTTCTCGCTCACTGTCTGCTGCTGGACACTGCGAGAGGCGTATTCTCTTGGCGTAACACACGTCGAAGATCCATGCGGCGAGGTGGTGCCATTGTACGTCACCACTGTACGGACCCGCGGAATATTCGGCACAGCGAAATTGGTCGGTGACCCAGGCGATTGCACCACAGCAACACTGGCGCCGAGAGGTGGCGCGATGCCCTCCTTTGCCGCACCCAACACGTCGAATTCATCGGCGTGAAACTTTTGCAAACGGCTGTTGTCGCTGTTCAGTATTTCTTTATCGGCCACACCCATCAGCAGCTGCAGCGTTGTTCGAGCATCTACCTGGGCCTCGGCACCAACCTCCTCGCAGGCAACAGCGCTCTCAACCAAACGAGAGAGAAGCTGTCGGAAGCCATCACTTGGGTGTCCTCCGTGGCTCTCTGCTGTCCAGCGGCTGACGATGGCGTCAAGAGAGAGATGATCAATCAGCAGCGACTTCCACTCATCAAATGTTAGCAGCACCCGCTGTGTCATATGGCAGATGCCTTCCTGCTGCGGTGCGAGCTCCGTTGGAGAGCACCGACTACCATTTTGGTGGCCCGTGGCACCCGGTCCTCCGATCAGCGCACGGTTATTCACGCACGCAACCTCATGACTCTCCAACATACTGAGATGCGCCTCAAACAGAAGCGTTGTCAGCTCGTTCACGAAAATACTATTTAGGTCAGGTGTCGGAAGCAAGAGCACCGAGGCGAGCGCCCGCATAATGATCGAAAGGGATTCAAAAACCGCACGGTGAATAGGCCATGACGAGGTGCTCTCGTCCTTTCTACCTGCACTGCAGTGAGATGAGGGAAGGAGGGTCTCGCCGTCCACATCGTGCCGCACCTCAACCTCCGTCCATTGCGCGCTCAGAAGTGCCCGACCACTCAGAACGATGCACTTCGCCCACTGCAGCACAAGGCAGCGCTGCTCAGTGCGTTTCATCGCCCTGGGTTCACGCGCGCCAAAAGACTCAGAATGCAGCGGCAGAGGCAATAACAAAGACGATGCGTAGGAGGTAATAACTTTCGACAGTGCCTCGCTGAACGGAATGCCGTAGTGCAGCACTGCCTGTGAGATCACCGTTCCACAGCATGTGCCGCTCTCCGCAAGGCATCCCACCGCCGTCATGAGCGAGCGCCGCGAGAAACACACGGCAAGCAAGTACTCCGCCTTGGTCCTCTGCATGCCTCCGCGGCATAGGAATTGCCTCACAGGTGTGGAATTGAGCTTCATGAACACCCCCATGTACGCGCTCTGCAAACCATGCGGTTCGTCCTTCCGAAAGATATAGTCCAGCACGCACTCGAGACACGCACCCCCCTCCGATTCGGGTGGGTACATCCGCAGCAGCTCCGGCGTAAGCAGGCAGGCCAGCAGCACCGTCAGACGCGCCGAAGACGCAGCGTCGAGGCTCATCACCACCTCAACGAGAGTTTTCGTTACCTCCATATTGTATACCAGCAGAATTGTCGCAGACCCACGGAGGGCGTCCATGAACTGAGAATACCACAGACCCACTGCATCATCACACATGTGACTCAGCATGCAGTCCACCATAGCATCGTAGGCAGGCAGCACACGAGAAATAACTTTGCGCATGAACGTTGAGCACACCTTCCGTGTTCGACTGCTGCCGGTTTGCGCTCCTTGCTGAAGGAGGTGCTGCTGCCTCAAACTTGCAGCAGTTATGAGTGCCTCCAACAAAAAAATACCCTGGCACACCGCAGTTATGGATACACTCGGCAACGTTGTACCGTCTTTGGCACCCTGCTCCAGGGACCTGCAGCCATCGACAACGGCACGACTAACGGCACCCGCCACAGAGAAATCGTTGTTCTCCTCACCTTCAAAGAACATCTGGGCAGATGTGCCATCCCAGATGGGGCCGCATCGCACTTTTGGTAGCACGCCGAAGCCATCTCTTTCTCTCGCCAATGATTTACCGCAGAGCAGCTCCAGCACTCTCCTCAGCAGTGATGCAGCCGTAGCAGTGCTGGTGTCGTCGGCCCCAGCGGCTAGCGCCAACCGGAAGAGAAACGGCAGTCGATTTCTCAGGTACGTGACGGCAAAGTAGTTGCCGTGCTGTAACTCCTGGTAGAGATCGAGGTGCATCAGTACAGCCGAAACATCGTGATTAGCACATTCGCTAGTTGCGTGATGCTCCTTCAGAAGTTTGTAGAGCCTCGCCTGCTCTACATCCGCGTAGTTCCCAAACTGCATCAAGCTATAGGCACTTTTCGTTTCTGATCCTCCTTTTTTTTTAGCTCGCTTTCGTTCCCCTCTTTCTCTTTCCCTCTCTCTCTCTCTCTCCCTCTTCCTTTCTTGATTTCTTTCGTTCTCTCTCTCTCTCTATGCGGTATGTCTATTCGCGTCCGCACTCTCGACTCCCCTACCCTCCTCTTGTGGGGCAGAGGAACGGCTTTATTTCTCTTTTAAGCGTATGGCGGCAGCCCTGCGTGCGTCACCAACACAACCTTCTTCTCCTGTGTGAGGAAAACGATGTAGGTTGGTATATGTATGTGCGGACTTCTGCGGCCACAGGAACCTCCAGGCGTGGCAAAAGACACACCTGCGGGCGACAGCAACGAGGCGCGGGCAAATAAGTATAGACCACGCGAATATTCCGCAAGGTTCCAAGCAACGAAAATAAACAAACAACCTAAGGCAAGCACACACACACACACACAAAGAAAGGGCTTGGCGCAGAAAGAGAGATTAGTATTTGCTTTGCTGAATTATATGTCCTTCCCCCTTTACCCCCGTCACAACTACGCGTCTTATTTTTGATTTCTCCGTTTTTCACCACTTACTCTTTCGCCCGCTTTTGGTGCGGGAAGCGTGGATTGAGTTCTGGAGACTCTTTGCGAACTCTCTCCTCCTAATGGCCACAGCTGCAGAGAGTACCCTTCGTTTTATTTATTTGGGTAATTCCCGTAGCCGTTTTTTCTTGTATACCTTGTGCAATTGGTCCCTCAAACTAAGACATATGCGTGCGTGTGTTGGCGTTGAAGGAGAAAAGAAGCGAGAGAGCGAAGGCGTTCAGACGCACGCACACGCGAAGACAGACAGACAGACAGACAGACAAACAGACACGCCCCGCCGCCAACCCCTCCACATCAGAGGAGGAGGAGCAGCAGCCCCTGTAGGAGTTCGGGTCCAAACACTTAGACAGGGGCACAAACACCGTGGAGAGAAAAAAAAATCAACGGTGTACAATAGGTGAAGAAAAAAAACGCTGCGCGCGCAAGAGACGTGGGAATGGGATGTGTCGAATACAACGCGCAACGGTCCAGGACGGAAACAGAGTAAAACAAAGCAATCGATGATGAAACAGAGGAGAAAAAAAAAAGAAGAGCACAATAAAATCTTTAATCTATTCTTTTTTCCTCTGTTTCATTCTTACACGTTGTTTCCGTTCCCTGTGGTCCACAACATGCATCAACCTGCCCCCCCCCCCACCACCCCCCCC